AAAAAAAAAAAGACAGAGCTAGGATAGTGATAGAGTGCTTGCCCAGCATGTGCAAGGCTCTAGGTTCATTCCCCAACACCTAAAAAGAAGAAGGCGTGGGGGAGAAGGAGGAAAGCCTGTATGTATATGTTGTGTGTGTGTGGGGGGGTCTTAATTCCTGAATAAGTTAGTTGAATTTGCTATGAAATATAAATTATAGAAAATGTGTGGTGAAGGGCTGGCTTAAGGCTAGGTGGGGGATATGCTCCCCTTTAGGAACCAAGTGTCTCATGGCAGGACCATATCATGGTTATCTGGCCATAACCCAGCAAGATCAAAAAGAATCCAAATAGGGAACCTCTAAACTTAACAAAGGATCAATAAAGTAAAAGAGCTGGTGATAGAGGCCTCAGAAAAAAGAGGAAAGAAGACAGGCAATAGTTTAGAGGTGAAGGGCTATGAAACAGCCCATGAAACTGAAGTATTTCATTTATTTCAACAGTAGTACTTGGACCTTTTTTCATATGTGAGATGCTCTACTAGGCTCAGAGGACACACGGGTGACTTTTAGGGTGGTTAGGAAGAAATTTGACAAAAACAGACAAAAATTTAATGAAAAGCCACTGGAGTTTTGCCGTAGGATAATGTGCTGAGTGCTCTGGGAACTTAACAATATGGGATAACTGCATAGGTGTTTGATGATTTCCTGCTGGGGTTTTGCCCTGCTAACTCTGCCTTTCATTTAACCCATTACTTATATCAGTCTCCACATTCATATTTATTTCCTCCAGCATTTCAGTTTGATGTGTTAAGTACACTAAATTATCACATTTAAAGAATTTTGGTTTCTATTGACAACTAGTCCAGAAGTCTTGCTCTTTGAAATTAGTCTTCACAAACTGAGATTGGCCAGTATGAAAATAAAGGCTTATACACTTGGGATGGAATTGTATGTTATAGGGTTGCAGCTGATGGGTCATAAAGCTTTGGTTTCCCTCTCTCTCGTTTTTCCTTGCAGATACACAAACTCGAGCTACTACCAAGAGTCTGTTACCTATTAAGTCCAAAGAAGTCGATGTTTCCAGACATCTTTATTCAGGAGGTTCAGATAATGATATTACAAAAATCACCAAACCAAAGCGAGAGAATGGGTGAGAACAGATCATTGGTATCCAGGTAGAGCCCTTGCCTGGTATGCACAAGGCCCCAGTTCAATCCCCAGCACCACAAAAGACAAAACAAAAAACCATCTTGTTAGAAATTGCTCAGTACTAAGAATTAAAAACTAGGGGTTCAGGAGCACCAGGCTCCTGAATGATAGCCTGTGGCACCACTGACCTGTTTGTCAGGGTTCTCTGTGTTAATCTGTTCTGAAGGGAGACAGCAAGGATTATGAAAAGATGTATTTCCTCTCTCACACTTGCTTTGAGTATGTAAATGGTATTGCAAGGGCCTAGCTGTTAGCCTAGGTTGCTGATCTGAGCAAAGTCCAGCCCCAGTGTAGGATATATGCTTGTCCCCTAGCCAGTGTTCTTTTCCCAGGTGAGTTTAGTTAGCATGGGATGGCCACACTATCTGGAGCATGAGCAGGTCTGTCAGGTTGTTGAGATAATCAGGAAGGCAACCCTTTCCCTAATGATAAAACTTTCTCAGTGTGAAACCAAAGAGCATAGACATTTAGGCTCTTAAGCCTGTACTGTTTGCCTTGTACCTAATCTCTGATTCTTTCTTCAGAAGTTCAAGCTCTTAGTTCTGCCTTGTTTACAACACAGTGCAACATAGTATGATTCCTGGATTAATTTGTTTTTTGCTTCTCTAGGCAGATGAAGGCTGCAGAGACTGCCATCAAGAGGAACATGAAGAAGAGGTGAGCTACAGGGTAAATAAACCTGGCCACTATTTTAGGGTAATTCATGTTCCCAGTTGTGTGTCACTCATGGGACTTGTTTAATATATTATGGTCTAGGTACCCAAGTGGAATTTTCAGGGATAAGACAGAGCCAGCAGTGAGAACCATTGTCAGTACAAGAATCGGTGGTGCCACCATCTTGAGCCTCAGACAAGAGCTTTCTGTGCTCCATGCCAGGACCACTGCTGATGGCCCACCAACAGGAGTTTGGAATAGGAGTGGTTAGTGACAGTGAAATAAATGTTCCAGTGGTGGAGGTGGACATGGTAAACTCCTGGACACATCTCTGTTTCAGGATAGTTTGAAACAGATAATGAGAAACTGAAAAGCCTATGCACCTAGGTTCTATTCCAAATCTATTAGGTGGGCATGTCTTAAAAGTTTTGAAGACAAAATGCTAGTAAGAAAGAATTTCAAAATGAAGGATTAATATTGATGATAACTACAGTGGCTATTTATTAAATGTTTATCATATGTTAGTATCTGGCCTAAACACTATATATGGGTTTTCTTTTATTCTTCACAATAATATTATGAAATGTGTGATCTTCACTCTAGAAATGAGTACCCAGAGCCTCAACGAGGTTATGCAACTCACTGAGTCATATACTACTATATAATGAAAACAGGGCTCATACCTGTTTGAGTAACTCCTTAGCCCATATTCATCCCCTCTGCATCTTCATGTAAAGTACAACTTTTTTGGCAGCTACAAACCATTGAGTAAGCAAAAGTCAGAGGAAGAGCTCAAGGATAAAAATCAGCTATTAGAGGCTGTCAACAAGCAGCTGCACCAGAAGTTGACTGAGACTCAGGTAAGAGACCCACCAGACCTGTGTCATCAGCTGTCATTGGGCTACGCATGATGGGTGGAGCAAGCTGTTGAAGGGCAGAAGGAGAAGAAGCCAGGCTCTTGCTGTCTTGTCCACGAGCTCAGGCAAAGACCTACCAGAGGACAGCTCCTGATCTATGTGACACTCCAACAGGGAGAGCTGAAGGACCTGACTCAGAAGGTGGAGCTGCTGGAGAAGTTTCAGGACAATTGTTTAGCGATTTTAGAGAGCAAGGGCCTCAACCCAGGTAAGAGAATGGACTTTGGCAGCATAGCTTCAGGTGACCCAGCTGGTCAGGAGTTGCTTAGCAAAGGCATAAAGATTCGTGAAAGCTTCTATTATTATCTGATGTTGACTTTTGCCTGACCAATAGAATTTCACAGGACTGTAGAGAGAAGTTTACTTCTACTATCTGAATATTCTCTGCTATTCATTTGGTGCCAACAGGTATGACCTCACAAATAGACTGAAAAATCGTGTTTCTTTGAAGAGAAGTAGAACTTAATTAATGCCTTTCTCAGGAGAGAATCAGCAGAGAAAAAGAGAGACTACTATTCTAGTGTTCCTAAATCTGGCTAATCAGCAATATCATGGTGACTAATGTGATCATGGCTTGGAGATATAGCACAGTAATAGAGCACATGCTTAGGATGTAGGAAGCCTTGGGTTCAATCCCAGTACCCCCCAAAAAAGTGACTCCTATTCAGACCCTGTCCCTTGAGTAGCAAAGACCAGACTCTGTAGCAAAGAAGAGAATGAAAGAAGGAATTGCCCAAAGACTATAAGATGACCAGCCACAATAATAGTACATGCCTGTAATCCCAGCTACTCAAGAAGCTATTTTAATAATAAAAAAATAAATAAAAATTTAAAAAGAAGACTAAGACAGCCTCAGGCTCAGTTGAGGAACCAGAGAATACCAGGGAAAGAGCCTTAGTCCTTGCACTAAGGAAGGCTAACTTTAAATGGGACTGGATAAGTTTAACCTGGGGGGTGGGGGGGTACAGCTGTTGTGTTTGGGTGCCGAGGATGGAACCAAGAGCCTAGGGATTGCCAAGCATATGCTCTACCACTGAGCTACACTCCCAGCTCCAGTTTAGATAATCTTTATCATTACCATAAACATTTTTGTATATTTCTAATATGTGAATGAACTATTACCAAAAATTATTATTTTTAAGACTTCAAAGACTTTTAAGAATAATTTTTGTGTTGTAAACAAAGCAGAAATCCAACCTATACATTCCTCTGAACAAATTTTTCCACTGAGCTAAGAAGAACAGAATGAATTTTTGGCTTTTTTCTTTATGCAGACCTAAAGAGAAAGGAGGTAAAATACAGCTCTGAAGAGCAGGCATGAGTGACTCTTTCCAGGTGAAAACTCAGAGCAGAAAGTATAGAAATAGACACTTGGAGAAAGTTCCCTTGGAAATACTCTGATTCTTGTCCATGGAGGGAGTTTTATTTTGTTCTGTGTAAGGCGCAGTTCCCAGAATGAGGCTGACTTTGTTGAATACATTTCTTTTAGGCAGTGAGACCCTGGCATCACAGCCGGAACCTACTCTGGATCACACAGACTCTATGGTGAGGGCGTGAGTGTGAATGGGCAGGGCCGTATGACTTTGGGGCCCTGTAGATCTCAGCAGCCTTTGGTTATCCACAATAATAGAAGAGCAAATAGGATGTGTATTCAATTGCATATTTAACCTGAAAGGTAGCTTTGTGCTTACAAACATAAGAAAGTCTGAATTGAAAAGGTACCACTTTAAAACACGATAGGTTGAACTCATATAGAGAGCTTTCTGATCTCTCCAATCTATACTTTACCAAATTTCACCCCACTAGTCCTTTATTGAGAACTGTGTGATACAGAGTTTCAGCCTATTAAATTTGAATTTGCAGGGTTTATTTGGTTCCTTCCTTGCAAAAGGAAGGTAATACATTTGGACTTCAAGCCTCTTATACATGCATGATCTTTCACTTGGAAGATTAGTTGTCATCTTAGTCGTCATCTTAGTCATAGAATATTAGCTGCAGAACCTTCCTTGGCTCCCTCAGGCTATTAGTCAGCCCTTCTGTGGCTGCCATATTTTGTTGCTAAGGCCTATGTAGCACAGAGCACATCCTGTTGGGGAAATCTGTATGGTGGACTGAGTTCATCGGAACGCCCATTAGAGAGCCAGGCCAAGTGCATTCAGTGCTTAGCAATTGACAAATGAATGGAACATTAACCACCATCTAATTCATATGAAGATTTGTTTATTACATTGTACTTTCCTCTTAGTTGCTGTTAGAAACTTTGCAAGATGAATTGAAACTTTTTAATGAAACTGCCAAGAAGCAGATGGAGGAGTTACAGGTGAGGGCAACCATCACCCTGAAGCAGGTGTAGATTGTGTTTTTGTGATATGGGAATTGAACCCAGGGGCACTCTATCACTGGGCTATATTCCCAGTCCCTTTTTAATTTCTTCTTGAGATAGGGTCTCACTGAGCTGCCCAGGCTAACTTCAAACTTGTGATCCTCCTGCCTCAGCCTCCCAAATCCCTGAGATTGCAGACGTGCACCACTGCCTGTCTTTATTTTTATTTTTTTTCAATATTTATTTTTTAGTTGTAGTTGTCAGTACCTTTTTTTTAACCTTCATTTTATTTGTTTTTATGTGATGCTGAGGATCAAACCCAGGGCCTCGCACATGCTAGGCAAGTGCTGTACCGCTGAGTCACAACCCCAGCCCAATATCTTTATTTTTTAATTTATTTTTTTATGTGGTACTGAGGATTAAACCCAAGGCCTCGCATGTGCTAGGCGAGCACTCTACCATTGAGCCACAATCCCAGCCCCTGTCTTTATTTTAATAAACTATTTTGAAATATTTTAGATTTTCAGAAAAGATATTTTGGAAAACTCAATTTCCCTAATAATAATAATAACAGCTTACATCACCATTGTACATTTGTCAAAACTAAAAAACCAGCATTGATAATTCCAACTATTCAGGAAGCTAAGCCAGGAGGATCACAAATTCTAGACCAGCCTCTGCAACATAGTACAAACCTATCTCAAAATGAAGGCAGGAAAAAAGGGCTAGAGTGTAGCTCACAGGTAGAACACTACTGGGTTCAATGCCTGATATGGGCAGTGGGGTGGAGGACAGAAAAAGAAACCAGCACTGGTGAATTATTGTTAACTACATTCCAAGACTTCATTTTGACTTCCCATTTTTTTCCCCACTAACTTTCTTTTTCTGTTCCTGTGGATGCTTAGAAATATTCACATCTCCGGGCCATGAGGCAGTGGGCAGCACAGCAGGTTGTTCAAAGTTGACAGTTGAGACCTATGTGATATCCATGCTGTGAAAGTTTGATATCTCAAGAAAGAAACTGGTAGTAAGAAATCCAGATTCTTGGGCTGGGGTTGTGGCTCAGCGGTAGAGCACTCGCCTAGCACATGTGAGGCGCTGGGTTCGAGCCTCAGCACTACATTAAAAAATAAGTAAATAAATAAAATAAAGGTATTGTGTCCAACTTAAAAAAATGTATAAAAAAGAAAATTTTGCGTCTGAACTGCTTCAGATTGCTTGAATGAACCATTGGTGATATTTCATGGAAAATATTTCATTGCTCTGTTTATATGCAGGAGTCTGCAATACAGAGAACAATTGCTAAAACCAGCACAGATAAAGAAAATCTGAGATAGAAAATGCAATGTTTGTTGGTCTTCTTCAGTGGAATAGAAGTATAATGTTCTGGTGTGGATATTGTGTTTCCTATGAGTCAAGAGTTTTAAGTATGTTTATTCTTTTGAAATGCCTTTCCTTGCAGGCCTTAAAGGTAAAGTTGAAGATGAAAGAAGAAGAAAGGGTTCGATTTCTAGAACAGCAAACCTTATGTAATGGTCAAGTCAATGATTTTAAAACAGCCCTGGAGGAAATGGAGCAGCTATTAGAAATGTAATAAAAGACAAGTGGTCAGATGGCTCCCTGTTGGGGATAAAATTCTCAGCAAAAGTCACTTAAGACATCTTCGTGGCCATGATCTTCTAAGACTTACAATCCCCAGAGTGAAAACAGTTTCTGCAGTAGGATTAAGGGCAAATTATGCTGGAATGGAGATTCTTCCTTTAAACAGCTTTCCCCACCTTCAGATTGGTCAACTCTCCTGAGCATCACATGTAGATAATGGAGGCCTATAAGAATGGACCTGGAAGCTTGACTCAACCTTGTAGGCAACAAAGCAGCACACCATTAGAATCAGGAGACTAAAGCAGCCACAGCCAGAGACTCTAGAAGGTCACATTCAGGTTTACAGGAAGAAATCCTTATTTTTACAGTAGAGCACAGGAGCTCCCTGAGGCATCACTGATAAGCTGTGCTTGTTAGAACACACACTGTTCCATCCTGGTTGGGCTTTTATACATCATTGTAAATTTGTGAACTTGGAAGTTCTTGGCTTAACAAATGGGGTGATGGTATAGAAAGGAATAACACCTACCTGAAACAATACATCTTGGAGCTTTTAATTTAAATCACATCTGTTTTTTTTTTTTAAGTACTACTTTGGAAATAAATATTTATATAAATATTCTGACTATATATATTCTGAGGAATGAAAATAGCTTTAACCTAAACATGTCAACTGAACATTATTATAATAAGTTCAAGATTTTTAAAAAAATTTTTTCAGTTATAGATGAACAGAATGCCTTTATTTTATTTGTTTTTTATGTGGTGTTGAGGATTGAACCCAGTGCCTCACACGTGCTAGGCAAGTGCTCTACTGCTGAACTACAACCTCAGCCCAAGTTTGGGATATTTTGATTTACCCAGAATATTTTTTTTTCCACTCACTGAGCACTCACTCTAGCCCTCTGTCTTCAGGACCAATGAGTGGTTCCCCCATTTGTACCAAGGGTGACAGGCTCCATTGACCTGGCTTGTGCCAGTGTTCTTCCTATACATCTGCTGCTTGCCTGCCACAGCTAACCCTGGGCCCAGTCCCTGTCCCACAGATCATACAGTTTGTTGCCCAAAGTCCACAATAGACTGCCCTCAAGTTTACCAAAGGTACAGCCAAATTTCCTGCTTAGTCAAAGTAGACAGACTTTTTTGAGCCATCTCCCATTCTTTCTGCACCTCCTAATTTCATCCCCCAAATCCCCTACTCTTAAGCATCTTTAAGTCGTCCCAGAGCCCTCTAGTAAAGCCAAGTAACAAGTCACCCTAGCTTAAAGGGCTATAATTATTTGCCCTTGCATAATTGTTTCATTTTGAGGAGTGGACCTCATCAATGAGAAAGGCTAAAAATTTCCTTCTACCCACTTTCAGGATATTTATAATTTAAAAGATTATTTACCCAAATTTATAATTGGTATTTCTTTTTTTGCAGGGGTGGGGGAGTTACCAGGGCTTGACCTCAGGGTCACTCAACCACTGAGCCACATCCCCAGCCCTGTTTTGTATTTTTTTTATTTAGAGAGAGGGTCTCACTCAGTTGCTTCATGCCTTGCCATTGCTGAGGCTGGTTTTGAACTTGGGATCCTCCTGCCTCACCAACCCCATCCCCACCCCCTTCACTGGGACTAAAGGCTTATACCACTGCACCAGGCTGTGATTGGTATTTCTGTCAAAAATAAAAGCATAGTTGGAAGGAGAGAGTGGGACACTTGCTTATGCTATCCTCACTTCTTGCTAGGCCTTGCTAGTTCACTTCTAGGAATTTAATTATCTGTGTGCTGATCCTGACAAATACATCCTTTCCAACATAAAGACCCTGTCTCATGACCTGATATCACAAGGGACCTTGATCCCAGGCTTCCACTTAGCACTGCTGGCCAGCATCATTTGTGCCGCCTTTTTTTTTTTTTTTTTTTTTTGGTGTGTGTGTGTGTGTGTGTGTGTGTTCCCTCTGGTCTCGACAAAAGAGTTGTTCCGAGTGCATAATCTGCTCTGGAGCCCATATTTATACATTATATAAATTTGGCATTTTATTTTGGTGGTACTGGGGATTGAAACCAGGGCCTTCTACATTCTAGACAAGTGCTCCACCACTGACTATATCCCCAGCCCCAAATTCAGCAAATATTGATCTGTACTTTTTACTGTGTTAGATGCGTTAGGAAACAAAGGTAGCATCACGGTCCTAACCTCAAGGATGCTTATATTTGTCTATTTGGGGAAACAAAATGTGCAGGTGATGCCAGCTACATTACAAAAGGCAATACTTAACTATGGACTTGTGGTGGTATGGAGTCTGATGGTAGTTAACTATGGGCTAGTTTGGGGAAGACTCAATGAAGGAGGTGGACTATGGCTCAAAAGAGAATAAATAACATTTGTAGACCAGAAAATTGAGGGGATATTCAGGTTAGTCTTGGGAAACTAGGCAAGAATACAGGTTGGGCTTGTTTCAAATAAGAGGGAATTATGTCTACCACTTAATTGAGCACTTGCTACATATGGTACTTGTGTATGTTCTTTATGTAATAATACTCATTATGCCATATAAGCTAAGTGCTGTTAGTTGTTTTGTTTTTTCCCCTTCAGTGGACAAATAGGCTAAGAATTGCCCAGGGTCAACCAACAAGTAGGAGAAATGGATTTGAGTACCAGCAGTAGCACACACCTGTAATCTCAGTGGTTCAGGTCTCTGAGGCAGGAGGATCCAAGTTCAAAGGTAGCCTCAGCAAGTTAGCAGGTCCTGTCTCAAAAATAAGAAAGGGCTGGGAATGTGGTTCAATGGTTAAACGCCCCTGGGTTCATTTCCTGGTTTAAAAAAAAAAAGAGCCAGGGAATATTGAGGATGGGAAGTATGTGTTTGTGCCAGGAGTTTTGAAGACCCTTGAATGCCAGGCTAAGAAGTGTGAATTTTTATCATCTAGGCCAGAGGTTTCCAAACTTTTTAAATCATGGTGCCTTCAGTATCTCCATGATTTTTTACTTTTATATATTTTTTTTTTTTGCAGTACTAGGGATTGAACTCAGCCTCACACATGCTAGGTACGTACTGAGCTACATCTTCATACCCAAATTTTGAGACAGGGTCTCACTAAATTGCCCAGGTTAGGCTCAAATTTGTGATTCTCCTGCCTCAGCCTTCTGAGTTCATTGGGATTGCACCACTCGTTGGGTATACACCAATCACTGTGCCTGGCTGAGTCTATTCTCTTATTTCCTGCTATCCTCCACCTTTAACATCAAGGCCAGATTCATGTTTCTAAAATACTCATGGTATTTACCTGGTTAAGACATGAGTAAAGCTTGTTGCTTATATCTGTGGTTCCCAGACCATGAGCCAAGGCACCCTTGGAACATGGCTGCATATTCACAGAATGCCACAGGATATTCTAATGTTAGGGTACACACAGGGATACTTGACATGTTAGGCCCCTGTGAACTATCAAAGTAGGTCAGTAACAACATAATAGACCAGGCTCAATTCCTTTGAACACCAGTTAGGAAATGAAGGTGGCAGTGTCCATCCAGCTAGATTCCAAAGTTTGAGAAGTTGAGAGTGCCCAACGTCTGACTAGTAAATGATTATATAGTTGTTTTAAAATGGAAATATACATTTTCTTTAGATTTAGGTGTATTACATTTTCAAACAACTAAGTTGTTAGGACATAAATACTATTTGACC